GGGCTGGAGCCCCTTGGTGCAAGGGGAGGGGAGTTTTGCGCCCTTACCAAACTCTGCTGATTAACGTGCAGCTGCGTTTTGGAGCCTGCCTAACTTTCGGTCCTCGCCCTCCCCGGGTGCTGCCCACAGGCTTTCATCTCCGCCGTGCTCGCCAAGCTGGCCCTCCTGGGTGCTGCCGCCTGCTTCGTCCTCTCCGGGGTGGGTTTGACCAATGGACCCCTCTGCTTCTACAACGCCTCCGAGCGTGTCCACGGGCACGGCACCCTCTGGGGTTACCCCTTCCTAGACGCCAATGGCCAGGAGCCTGACAGCAGGTGAGGCGGAGGGGTTGAGTCACTGGTGCCGCCTCGTCAGCTTATTCCTAATTAAGTCGGTGTTATTTATGGCGGGTGGGTTAGGTGGGCTTGCTGGTGGTGAGGTAAGACCCTGGTAGCTCAAGAGGTCCTCACCTTCCACGGCTTTCTACACGGTGCTTCCCATCCCCATCCCCATCACGCTGCCGACCCTGCTCATCCTTGGGATGAAGGCCAGGGCACCTGAGGCACAACCCCATGGCAGAAAGCGATGCGATTCCTGGGGCAGCATCCTGCATCTCCTCCTCTCCCCATCGTACAGGGCAGAGAACTACCTACACGATCGTCGCGCATGGAGCATCTGCCTGGAGCCGGAGGGCATCGTGGCCTGGAACGTCGTCCTCTTCTCCCTCCTGCTGCTGATCAGCGCCGCTGAGATGGTGCTGGCCTCCCTCCAGATCCTCAACGGCTGCCTCGGGTGCCTCTGTGGCTTTTGCGAGGGGAAGTAGTGGACCCGTGACGGCGCTTGGAGGAAATATCATCCCTGGCTGTCCCTTGGCTGGTGGCAAACACTGGGGCGGGGATATGGCAGAAACCGTGATACCAGCCCGGTGCGAGAGCCCCCCCATGGGGGACAAACACCCCAGCCCGCAGGAGACGTTGAAGCAACGTGCGTGGGGTCGGCGTGCAAAGGGCTGCCTCCGTGCAAAGTCCTTCGTCCACACTGTTCCTCTTCCTCCTCCCTGGAGCGGATGCCGTTGGGGCTGGCGGCCATTTGGGCTGGGAAACCAACCCGGTGAGTGATGGAGGTGAGGACCTGGCATCCCGGCATGAGCCCAACAATGGCTTCGTCATCACCCTCCGCCCCACCAAGTGCAAAATGTGACGTGATGGTGTTTGTAGAGCTAAGAGCTAGAACGCTAATTTATTTTCACTAATCAATCTGTATTTAGGGCAGCTTGCGTTAGTGTTCGTCTCCTGCGCGGGGCAGGAGAGACG